AGAAATCTCTAGGAGCCCCTAGAACTTGTATTTGAATTTAGCAGGATTAGAAAACACAAGGTATATATAAAAATTCAGGTATATGTATACTTCCTATAAATGAAGAATTGGATATTGAAATTTAAAAGTTATGTAGGAGTACAAAGGACCTAGAAAGGTAAGAGTAAAAGAAAAAAAAAGTGTTAGAAGACATTTAGTACCTAATTTTAAGACTTCTTCTAAAGCTACAATAACCAAGGCAGTGTTGGTGTAAGGAAAGACATATAGATCACTGGAATAAAACAGAGAATCTAGAAATAGAACCATATATATGTATGGTCCACTGAGTTTTGAAAGATTATTTAACATTAACATTTTATAGAGTATAAATTCAAGAGCCAAGGAAAACATAGTGTTTTCAGCAAATGGGACTAGAACACCTGGTATCCATATATAAAAAATTAACCTCAACAATTTATTTCCATACATAAAAATAAATTGAAAAGATCTATGAACCTAAATATGAAAGACTAAAACTATAAAACTTTAAGAAGAAATTATAAGGGAAAATGTTTATGAATTTAGGGTAGGGAATAACTTCCTAGGACACAAAAAACATGATGTGTAAAAGAAAAAAATTGATAAATGAGATTCCATCAAAATTTAGAACTTTAAATGACATCGTTAAAATGAAAAGTAGTCCTTAAACAGGCCTTATTTGCAATGCATATAACCTATGATCAGAATAAAGAACTCTTACAGCTTATTAATGGACAACCTAATTAAAAAGTAGACACAAGAAGATGATAAATAGCCAGTACAGCACAAGGAAAGGTGTGCAACACTAAAATCAGAAAAGTACTAACCAGTACTATAACAAGACTGAATTATAAACTCATTAGGGAGATGAAGTTAAAAGTTTTAAAAGCCTTGTCATAACTTTTCTTTCTGTTGGATTCTCCCCCTTTGCATTGAATTTGTCATGCACAATGGATTCATTCTGCTGGGCTTCCTGGGGTTGTGATCCTCATTGTCTTTTCCCAGGATATTGTCTAAAATTTTCTGGAGTGTTGGTTTGGTATTCATGAAGTTCCTAAAGTTCTCTTTATCAAGAAAGAATCTTATTTCTCCATCAATTTTGAAAGATAGTTTTGCAGGGTACATCAATCTGGGTTGAAGGCTGTTTTCCTTTAGAGCTTGAAATACAACACTCCAAGCTCTTCTTGCCTTGAGGGTTTGCATTGAGAAGTCTGCTGTGATGGGCTTTCCTTTCTATGTGATTTGTTTCATTTCTGTCACTGCTTGTAGAATTTTGTTCTTCTGTTGGGTTTCTGGAATCCTAACTATTATATGCCTATGTATAGATGTTTTTGATCAATGCTAGCTGGAGTCCTATATGCTTCACTTATCTTTATGTCAATTTGTTTTCCCCTGCTTGGGAAGTTTTCTGCCATCACTTATGTGAAGAGTTTTTTAATGTCATCTGCACTCTCTCCTCTTTCTTCCTTGACTCCAATCAGTCTTATGTTATTCTTCTTTGCATCATCTAAGAGCTGCTGGATTGCTTTCTCGTGGTCCCTTACAATTCTAAAGTAATTTTTCTTTTCCTCCTCACTAATTGCAATCTTATCTTCTATATCTGAAATTCTGTCCTCACATGCGCTCATTCTGCTGTGTACACTTTCAATGGAGTTTTTAATCTCCTGGAAATCTGTTTACATCTGTTTTATGGATTCCATTTGTTTCCTATGTTGGGATTCCATCATGTTCCTCAGCTCCTCTTTTTTCATCTGTGTCCTCTCTAGATTTATTAATCATGTCTTGCACTATGGGCACAATCTTTGCTCTTATCTGAGAAATTATTTCTGATTTCCTTTTTTTCCAGATCTTTTGTTACCAGCTCAGGGAGTCCAGGTAGTTAAGTATCAGATTGTTCCATCTCATTTTCCTTTGGGGTTGCTGTAGGTGATCTGGAAGTCTGTTTTTGAGGCTTGTTTACATGTCTTCTCATTTCCATGGTTGGGCGGTGTGCTGCTGGCACCCGCGCGGCTCACCTCTTCTGCCCTAGGAGTGGTGGAATGGTGGCGGGGGAGCCTCCTTCTGGGCACTGAGATTGGCTCACCTCCTCTGCCCTAGGCGCGGTAGAATGGCAGTGGGGGAGCCTCCTCCTGGACACTGGGATTGGCTCACCTCTGCCTTAGGATCAGTGGAATGGCAGCGGGGGAGCCTCCTCCTGGATGGTGGGATTGGCTCAGCTCCTCTGCCCTTGGTATGGTGGAATCACCACTCCATTTTAAATTGCAATTCCCTACCTCTGCATTCCCTAGTATCTCTTACATGATTTATTTTTCCTCATAATGTCAATTGCCACATGATACACTATGCATTCTGCTTTCCTGTTTATTGTTTGGCCACTGAAATGCCAGTACTATGAGGGCAGGGATTTTTGTCTGTTGCTCACTTTTATGTTCTCATTATGTATAACAATGCCTGACACATAGTAAAAGTTCCATAAACACTTATGAAATAAACACATGATTCCTGTTTGGGGTAAATAATGTTGGTATGTCCATCTCTGATTCCCCTGTTTCCTCACCATGCTTTGCTCTCTTACAAGTAACATTTGAAAGGAGATCTTGTATGTCTCACTTGCAGAAGAACCACCATCTTAGGTTCTGCTTTTAGGGAAAGGACTAAGACAAGTCTGTAATGAAGATTATGTATTCGTGAAGAAAACTACATGTTTATGAAGAAAGAGTTGCAGAGAGAAATTGTACGTAATTCAGTTTGGAATCAGAACAACTGGTTAGTGAGGGATAAAGAAGTGAATGAAGGCCAATTAAGGATGTTGCTCAAAAGGAGAAAATGGCCCTGGTATAGGAACAACTCAAACATAACTCTTCAATATCTTTTCCTTAAAAAGCCAAAGTTTTTCTTCAACAACTCTGTCAATGTTCTACCATTGAGTTTCCTTAAATATATACACTGTCAAAACCAGTGACATTTTCTAACATGAGAAATTTTCAGAAACATAAAGTGAATTACAATTAATAATAACAGGACTGTAAAATTCTCTCTCCTCAGGTCCCTGAACATCTACATTCAAAAACAAGAAGATAAGATTAAGTAAAACCTCCAAATAGTTATAAAACATTGGTTTTGTAAGTTGGTTTGTTAGATTTTTGTGCTTTAGAAATTTAAAAGAATCTTTAGTAGAGTCAGTAGCAGACTGCTTAAGCTGGAAATGCATCCAAACAGAGTAACATCTGGTTTTCATCTATTCTTATGAGGCCCCGAGTGTTTTCAATAGAAAATAAGACACTAGGCCCTTAGATATAAGAAGCACACAATGTGAAAACAAGCAGACTAGTATGGAAAAAAAATGATAACTTAGCCCAGGGAAAGCATTTATACCATTGTATAAACTCTCAATTTTTGAACATGAAAAACAGTGCATTATAGCATTTAAATTTGTTTGCTTTCTAGATATCTTAGATAAGCTAAACTTCTTATGCTCTTGGTTCCCTTTCAAAATTCAGACTTGGCAAAAATGCCTGTAAATAAAAATGAACACCTTCAGTTAATTAGTAACAACTTTTATGTTACGTATCTCAATATACGGAACACAAGGATATTACTGAAACAGAATGATTTTAGCAATAGATTATTTTTTTCTCTGACTACTTTTCTATGTATTAAAATATATAGCTAATAGCTGTTAAAATGTAAATATATGTAACAATTGATTCAGCACACCTACTGAAGGAAAGTTCTCCCACTAAATAGACTCCAAAGAGCATTAGAAATTTATGATACATCAAAGTGGATCTACAAGTCTAAGTAAGTCTCGAAACAATTTTTTTCCTGTTCAATTTTAAATTGATACTCATCCAGACAAGCAAGTATAATTTATCCTATATGAGTCCTTTAAATAACAATCCCAAGAAGAGCAGTAACAAAGAACAAAGAAGCTTTTCCAACATGCTTTCCACAGAACACTGTGGAAAGAACACCCAGGAGAGGATAGAAGAAACATAGTCAAATATGTGTGGAAGGTGCCATATATTTAATTGCCCCTTGAAAGGGTCACAATATGTGTGGAAATTTATAGAAGACTGTAAGATGCTTTGGGGGTAGGTAGTGTTTTCTAAATTTGATAGAACACTTTCTATAAGCATCAAAAATAAGACTGTATAAAATCATCCATAACTACGTGGTAAATGATCATGTCTCCCTTGTAAACCTAAAGGTTCAGAGGCATCATTCAATCATCCTGTCTCCATTCCCTCATCTTTCTCCCTTAAACTAAGCCTGAGATACTATAGTGTTTCCAACTTTATAATTCATTATAATCAGGTAACTTAACCAAATATGTTCTTGATTCTTACTTTCAGAAATTCTAATTCAGCATAATGTCTTTATTTTTAACATATGCTGTAGGTAATTTCAGTTCAGGTCAAATGCTGGGATGCTCAAAAAAATACAGAAAAAACAGTATTATGAACAATAAGATGATTATTTTATGACTGAAGCCAGAGTAACTTTAAAAGAGACAATAATTTTTTTTTAAAACTCAACCTTTAAATGACTGTGTTCTATTCAGAATAAAAAATGAAAAAGGTAAACTGAGAAAGTCAAACTTCATTCTAAAACAGTATCCTATAATATACTGCTCAAAATATTATGGACAAGAATTTTGCCCTACAGTAAGAATTTTTATCCTGAGCTTCACTAAGAAATGCTAGGAATTCTTGAATTCTCTGAAACTAATTTTTATGAGTATATGAATTTATGCCTTTATATGGCAAAATAATCCATAACTTTCAGCAATATTCAACTGTTTAATATTCAACTGAAAAGTCATTATATTTTTTTATTTATCTACTTGAAAAAAATGGTAGAACTGCTTCTTAGTTAACACCATGAATCAGACACACAAAAACATTCTTTCATGTACTTTTCTCTCTCAGAGCCAAACAAAAACCAATTTACCTTTGTAGAGTCATATTCAAGGAGCTCGTACAACCTTTAATCTTGTTCTGGGCTTCCAGATGAGTCATTCCACTTGCACTTATTCCATCAATGCTGAGAACCACATCTCCTATTTTTACATTTGCCTGAGATGCCTTGCCACCATCTTTTAGCTGCAATAAATACATTTCATCAGTTGTGTCATTTTTTAAAAATAAAGATGAATTAATGCAGATAAAAATCACACTTCTGCTTACACTAAAGGAAAAGCATATACTGTACTATGTTAATATAGTATTACTTGCTTAATATGTGAACTTAAAATTCAAATTATTTTCTCAAATTCTTACTGTATTAAAAACAATTTTATGAGAAATGTTTTCTGATAATTTCTCCATTTCTTTATTATGCAGCAATAGTATGTGATCGTTATGAATGTGGAAAGGAAGTAGTAAAGGAAACTTTACATTTTAGCAGAAGAAAAAGAATGTAATTTCAATGGGGTTTTTCCCCCAATGGAGTTTTTATAGTCTTTGAAATAATTTTTGAAAACTCTTTCAACAGCTGCATTTTTGAGAACAAAAAGTCACATACAGGGAGGAAGTCTTTCCTGTTGAGTCCAGTTCATATCCAGTGTTTATGGACTGAATTCTTTTAGATCAAATATCTTTAATATTGGGTGTACTTCCTGCTCTAAGCATTAACCAGAGGGGAAGGAAACTCCTTATATCTGAGACTGCCAGACTTTTTTGTATATCACAGTCCTTAAGCCCTAGTCTTTCTTCCCTTATTCAATAAAAATGTGTATTATTTACCTTAATCTCCTTCAAACTTAATGCATATATACTTCATTACTCCAAAAGAAGCAAATATAAAAGTACAATAAAAGGAAAAATGATACAATTTTCATAGATACCTAGACACATGAAAAATATACAATCAAAAGAAACTGTTCTGGGCCGGGGATTTAGCCCAGTGGTGCCACTACTTGCCTCACAAGTGCAAAGTCCTGAGTTCGGTCCCTGGTACCAAAAAAATAGAAAAGAAACTATTCTAATTCAAATGATAATCTCAGTGTTCAATAAATACACACAGATTATACTAAATATTGGATTAGTAAAAGATGGGAGAGACCAGTCTCCCCACAAAAAAGAAAATAACCAGGAAGTCTCTAGTATCTGAAACTAAAGATACAAAGAATTTCTGTTGGAGATGATGAAAAAGTTCTATAAATAGACAGTACAGTGCTGATGGTAGCACAACATTTTGAGGACATTCAGTTAATGCAACTGAACTGTATGCTTAAAATTTTCAAAACAATTAACCTTATGTTATATATACATATATATTTACCCCAGCTTTTTAAAAACCTAATGATTTTAAAGAACAATTTAGTAAAATGACTTTCTGATAAAAACAAAAACACTACAGAACAAACAAAAACACCCTCAGTTTAATGAACAAGAGTTTAGTTGGATTTCATAATTTGAAGGCAAAACAATAAATATAATGAATATTATATTTAGCTAGATTTTATTACTATCCGTTGTCACATGCCTTCTTTAAAAAATAATGATTAAGGCAGACAAATCTCAGATACAAAACAAGCATCTAGATCTGAAAAATAAAAAAATAATATTGACTGCTAGAACCTGAGAAAGAAACCATATCTGTTTCCTCACCACATTACAGACCTTCACCAAAATATATGCATTTTACAAGATAACATATATGATTTTACTAGATTAAATAATGTCTGGGCTGTTGGAATTAGTATCTTATTAATTAACTATTAAAGGAAATATTTGTTGATAGAAAATACTAACTGTTTTTCTCTCATATAGAACTAAACTATTTAAGGTACATTTATTAAGGAAACAGTTCCTACAGCCAGGTATCCCATCATTTTCTATGCAACTACGGGAAAATCACTTATGTCATAGGACTATTATGAGTGTAAGGGATGGACAATAGTTGAATAAGATGTTAGCTATTATTCCCTTGACTTCAGATTACTACTCCAAGAAATGTAGGGACTATGCTAGATAATCTCAAAGCCTTCTAAGATACTGCCAGTTTTAGCAATCTATTATGTGAGCTACAGGTACAAAGTTAGAAGTCTAATCCTAAAATAAGAGTTAAGTCTGGAAAATTTTGCTAATGGGACAAAGGGACATTTATTCGCTATTAAAATAAGCAAATCAATTAAATTTTGGAGTCCTGATAATGACAGAAAATATAAACATAATAATAGTTTCTCTTAGATTCTATTGGGGCCAAGGGCAAATATAGGAAAAATTAACAAGAAATAGAACTGCAAATAAATTACTTATTCTCATATGAAGCAGCCTTAAAAACACAAACACTGAAACTAAAAGGCATTTGCTCTGAATATACCCAAGAGAAGCAATTCAAACACTCACAGTCCAGCAGTAATATACAGGCAACAAACAATATAGAAAGGAAATAAGCACGTGAGAGACAATGTCATAATCAGATAAACTTTCCTTATTCCTTTGTGACAGTGCCTAGGAAACCCTATTTTCTCAAGTTGTTCAAACTTACTTCTCAGAATTAACTATCTTTGTATTCTTTCACCTTTATTTTCAAATGATAGAGCACAAAAACCCCACACAGCTCCATAAATTCTGCCTCTTTCTTGGATACCACAGGTAGGAAAATTACTGTTTTATCAATGCTTCCATTCCTCTCCCTTGATAGACCACACCCTGATCGTCTTTCACATTGATTTTGCCTACTGCCTACTTGCCTAATTGAGAAGTTTTCCTTTTCCTTTTTTCTTTTTTCACTGTGTGTGTGTGTGATGAAGACTGAACCCAGGGCACTGCATATGCTAGGCAAGTACTCTACCAGTGAGGTATATCCCTAGTCCCCATAAGTCTCCCCACCTTCAAACTACACAGTACTCCCACTTTCCTCCATCTTCACATTTCCAGAATGGTAGACGCTAGAGTCTGGATATAGTTTAGTGTGTCCCCCAAGTGTTCATGTGTTGAAATTTAAAAGCCATTGTGAGGTGTTAAGAGTAAAACTTAACCTGACTATGGTGTTTAGAGGTGAAGCCTTCGGAAAGTGACTGAGGTAGGGTAAAATCACTGAGATAGAGTCCCCATGATGAAATCTCGGTGGCTATATAAGGGAGATAGACCAGAGGAATCAATTTCTCTCTCTTTCCCTTTCTCCCCTTTCTTTTTCTCTCTCTTTCCCTCCCCAACCACCATCTTACCCTGTGTCTTCCCATGTTATGCCCTCCTTTGTACCACTTTAGCCTCTGCCAGAAAGAGGGTCCCCACCAGGTGTGACCCTTTGGCCTTGGACTTCTGCAATGGTGAGCCAAAGTAAATCTCTTTTTTTTTATAACTTACCCAGTCCATGGTACTATATTATTGGCAACAGAAAACAGACTAATACAGTGGCCCCACTGACAATAACACTATAGGGTTCTATTTATATCAATATTATCTTCATAAAATAAGGGTAGAAAAACTGAAAATGTCTTCTGCTTCCTAGCATGTAGAATAAAGTTGAAGCCTGAAATACAAGGCAGATGTACTTTGTCACTGATGTGTTTCCAACTTCAAAATAAGCTCATAAATTCAGGGATCATATTTTAGTTAACTTTTTTCCTGGAGACTTAAACAATACAGGTTTTAGACAGTGTTTTATTAGATTCTATTAAAATTAAAGTAAAAAAACAGCCAGGCATGGTAATGCACACCTTCAGTCCCTTCAACTCAAGAGGCTGAGGCAAGAGGACTGATTGTGCCCAGGAGTTCAAAGCCAACCTAAGGAATATGGCAAGATCCTGCCTTTTAGAAAAAAAAAAGTCAATAAATAAGTGCATCAGTTTACTATATTAAATTATGATACAAATATTCTTAATTCACCAAAGAGAAAAATAGGTTCTAAGCTGAAAAGCAGAATCTCCATTTATTAGGGTAAGCTGACCTAAGGTCAAAAGTCAAACCTTATTTCCAGTAGCACAAAGTAAATCTAGTTTAGATAGTTAAAAATACAGACTTTCTAGGACTTCTAAAAAAGATGTCACAATTTCCTTGGTAACTTACATACCAATGTTCAACTTAAACAATTAGCAGAAATGGAAGCAAATGCCCATCACCACCTGAACAATCTTTCACAAGAAATTTTTATTTTTTTTAACTAAGAAATGTTTTAGTTTTCTTGCAAGTACCTTTGTTAACTGCACCAACTCATGTTTTGAACTTAATAGTGTTCCATTTTTGCTAAACACAATCCTATTCTGAAAGATAAATGTCTATTGAAAACAAAGGATAAGTAAAAATTCACAACCTTAATCACCTAGAAGTTCAGGCAACTGGCTGAGAAGGATTTTCACATGTAAGCTAGTGATGTGCAGCCACCTCTCTGTAAAAGCTTTTATGAATCAAGAGACTGCCACTGTCCCATGCAGGCGGAGGTGGCTCTGCAGCAAGAACAGCGAGCAGTGGCCTGCAGGTAAAGACAGCTGCCCGGTTCCCCTGGCTGCTGCAAGCCTGGGCTGAGTCTGAAGTCCTTGCTTCCCACAGTGGGAGCTTTGTCCTCACCAGCCTTAGAGTTTGAATTTGCATTCTAGCCCTTGGGAAGGTGGTCCTGAGAGCACCCCTGGCTAGCAAAGATTGGGGGCGGCTCCCTTCTGTTTCCATTACAGTCTTCACCTGGCTCTGGAGAGCCACTCTGAGCTGGCCCACCTGCTTCAGCCTGCCCTGCACTGGCCACCTGCATGCCCCACCTCACTTCACTCTCCTCCCATGGAGACAAATATGTCTATCCCATCTTTCATGCAGACCCAGCCTCGCCAGTGATGAGCATTTCTTGAGCTCAGATCCTGACATCCTGATAGAGAATGAATGTCTTTATTCTAGCTAGCATCATGGTCTTTGGTCCTGCCAAGCCCAGGGTCTGCTGGGAGGGAAAAACTGGGCCTGATGTAACCTGAGCTAACTGACCCTCAAAGGTGAAGCTGGGACAGTCTCAAGGGCCTAGCATTTCTCCTTGTACAGGGAACCAGGAGTACCTTAAAATGTCACATGAGAACAAGACGTAACCCATGGGATGTCAGCTTTTTCTCCCTCTCTTGGGGTGGGTTTTCACAGATTTAAATTTTCACATCAACTCCTTCTTTACAGTTTTC